ATTCCACTCTGCTGTCTCTTTTAAGTTTGTTGAAATTGCTCCCTGTTGCTTCTTATGGGAATAACATTCACCATGGAAGCTGCATGGTTGGCATGGCTCCCACCCAAGATCTTTTATGACCAAAGCCTTCCTCATCAACACCTGGCCACAGAATGCTCCCTTGTTCCTCACCACTGGCAGAGTTGTAGCAGCAGAAACCTTCACCACCAGGAACACCTCCATGCAGGCAGGGAGGTCCGCAGGATCTTATGGCCCTTGGATGCTTTACAGAATTGCATTTTAACTGTCTCAAATCAGTGACTGCATGTTTACAACTTGGGTTATGAGTCTAGTCGTACAGCTAGTCATCCTGCATCCTGTAATTCAGGTGTAGCACAAGCTATTCATGTCCTGCTGACCTACTAGACCCACATGTCGTATATGATGAAGCAATGAGACATCGTGGCTAGACTGGGCCCTTGAGTAGGGCAGGAACCCTACTCAAGCTAGTGTCAGCGCCATGAGTCCAAAATTGCTCTCTAGTCCCAGGCTGGACTATCCACTGGGCACCATTAGACATCTCTTCCTTGATCAAGACATTGGCACATCATCATGGTAGCTACTTAGGGCATATGCATAATTCAGCACAGGATTAGCTTTCATTAAACCCATTGATTCCCACTGGAGTCACCGCAGCCAAGTCTGTTTAGAGTATGGCACTCCAATCTGCAGGGCCAGCAGGAAATCAGACACGTGCAAGACCCTCCTGGAACTGCTTCTTCTCTTCCCCAGGGCAACCTGCTTTGGCCCAGGCGATGGTGGAGGCAAGATGAGGAGCAGTAGTTGCCACCTGGCCAAGCCTACCTGGTCAAGGCTCTCTCCCTGTCAAGCAAACAAGAGGTGGCAATGATGAGGAAGAGGAGAAGGAGCAAGTGCAGCTAATGGCAACGGCGATAAGAAGGTAAACTCCCTGAGGAAGGGATGTCTGTTCAGGGTCTCTTGTCCGAGGACCCTCCGCAGCCAGCACTGTCGGTCTGATACAGTCACCCTATCTTCTTTGCAACATCATGGAGCAAAAGAAAGAGAAGGCTCAATGGAAGAGGGGTTGTGAGAACATATCCAGCAGTAGAATGAACACTGAGATGAACGTGGCCTGAGGTTTGAGCCCTGTGCACAGTTACATGAGAGTAAGCCCCACAGAAATCAGTGAGACTTGCTCTCAGGGAAACACATGCAGGCAGCCTCCAAGGGTCATGTGAAGAGAGTGAAGACTGCTGCCACATCCTCAGAGAACCTCTAATTCTGAATGTCACCTTGTACTTGGGATGAACGCATTAACACTGCGGTCTGTTTACCAATTAATGTGGTGTGTGTGTTTACAAAGCACTAGGTGAGCCAGGAACAAAAAGAAACCAGATTCTTAGACCAAAAATAGATTTTGCTCACTTCCAGGATCCATTATCTAACCTTCCTTCAGAAATAGCTTGCTACTTTGAAAAGAATGAAATAGAGACAATAAGACATGTAGTTCTTTTCATGAGTAGAGGTTGTATCCAGATCAATGGGGTCTGAATAGTCATGAGAGACTTAAAACCTATTGAGCAGCAAGCAAGATTGCCCATGTGCCTCCACTAATTAAGTTGTCCCAGTACAACAAAAATGACAACTCGGACAATGAGCCAGAATGGGACCAGGCAGTGGAGCTCCTGTTTGCTCTGTTTCTGAAATAAGCATTTCAGTTTGGTTTTGGCTGCATTAGCAAGTCCTGGTTTCCAGTTGTGCCAACGAGAGGTTCTGTTGCTGTAAGTGATTTGATGGGTCTGCTTTAGGTATGACTCAGTCTGGATCTAGCAGACCTATGGAAATCCTTGAAAAGCATCCAGTGCGGAGCAAGATGAGAATGGAGCTGAGCTTTGCCTCTCCACAGCTTTTCCTCCATGTGTTCACTGCTTGGGTGTTTACACCCATCTAACTGAGGGCCTTTAGAGGGGGAGGATGGATTGATTCCAGGATGCCACACATCACGGCAGCCCACTGTCCTCTCCTCCCTCTCCTATGGAAGGCCACCTTTACTCTCCTCAGGGCTCAGTTTCCTGATTTCAGAGAGACAACTGGGTTAGTTCCTTCCACACTCACTGGCTGCAACTGGAGATGGAGACCAGAATGTGGATTCCCCACTCTGAATTCTGAGCTCTATCTCCAACCTCAGATCTGGGGATCCAAATTATCCCTTGCCTCCCCTCCCCCCACACCAGATGGGGTTCAGGAGACATAAACGCACTCTCTAATTTCAAAGGACATGGCATTTAATCATGTATTTGCATTCATATTTTCTTCTTTTCCTCCTGTTTTTATGGTCTAGATACTGGGGTGTATATTGTTAAATAGTTTAAAACAATAGTTTTATACTTTCTTAATAAAGTATAAAATGTTGTCCATTTCCTAAAAACAAAAAACATATAGCTTTATTTGTTAATGCCAATTCAAGGGATTGGAGCAGTAAACACTAGTCCTTGCCTCGCCTCGCCTCGCCTCGCCTCGGTAAATTCAGAGCCGTTTCCAAGGTCTTATACTGGTCAGTGATTTATTTATTCAGAAGAACATCAAGATATTCTAATATATCTATTCAAGAGATATTAGATCTATATATGAAGGCCAGGACAGAGTTAGCTGTTCTTAATCCTTAAGTGTAATATTGAATAGGATTATGTAGTATGGGAAATATTGATATGTATTGTCATACAATAATTTGGAAATTTGGTACAGTTTAAAACTTGCTTCTGCTTATTTTAAGCCTGTTTATTCAGACTTGCCTATTGAACCCTCTTATGTTTTCCTATCCTAAACAGAGCTGTTTCTTAGTTAAAATTGGCAGGGTGAATTCTGGGACTGCGCCATCTTATGGTTAAAAAGCAAACCCCTCTGACCCCATCTCTACCCTTCCCTGCCAGCAAACAACAACAGCTTCTTCTTTTTGCTGTAAAGGCAGTTTCCTCCATTTGCTTCCATGACCACTGTGTGTATTTTCTGTCTGTCACAATGACTGGGATAAAAGTATGTGCAAAGTATCTTTGAGATGGTTGCACTTATGTCTGCACTAGACAAACACCAAGCAAAGAAATAAAGTACTGGACAAAAGGGAAGGTATACACTAAAAGCCATTTGTGAATCAATATCTGGATTTAAACTGGTTTTCAGCGCAACTGCAAATAGTCCAAGATGCTCTGGCTGGGCTTCAGGGTGCAGGAGTGGAGAAGAGGTGGAGAATTAAATGTATCAGAGTACCTAATACTCTTAAGAGAGAAAAAGCAAAGACTTGGAGTGATCTTGAAAGAGTGTGGGGAAGGGGGATGACTTAGGGAAAAGGGAGTGCAGCCTAGGAGGCTACAGCAGAACCTCCTGCATGTAGAGCAGGATTGCACAGATTCTTCTCCTTCTGTTCTAACTACTTGTTCCTGCAGCTAAAGTTTGGGAGCAAAGTAACTCTTGGGTCTCAGAGGGTGAAGAAAAATCTGTCCATTTCAAAAGGACTTGCCATCCAGTGGTCTCTACCTGCAGTGAGGCCAAGCGGTGGAGAAGCAACAAAACAGGAGGGGCTTATGCCCTTTTGGTGGTTCTCTCTGGGCTTAGCCATGGGGTTCTGAAGTTTGCCCTACTCAGTAAATGGGACTGAAGCTCTGTCAATCATGGGCTGGCCTCCACAGCATGGTCTCGGGTAATACTGGTGCAACAGCCACGCACAGAACCAGTCTGAGAAGCTGCCACCCTGAAGGCTTGGGCCTGCTCAAACAGAAGTTTCAAAGGAAGAAAACATCGTGAGAGAAAAACAAAGGTTTCTCCAGGTGGCCACAATAGCTGTTCTGTCTTAAAACAACACAACTGAAACAGCATCTTGTCAGAGCCATCCTAAACATAAAAGGGTGATATTGGGATGGGTGCTCAACAAAATGGGTTGTGCTCCTTTGTGTTGTTTTTGCAACACTGAAACCTTCCCAGTCTCGCTCCTGAACTGTGGCTTGATTCAAGCATCAGAAAGTCACTTTGGGCTGGCAAAAGTATACGGAGTTACATTAGCATTTTATTATTGTTAAGGGTGAAATCCTATTGTTTGTGCCCTTAGGGCCTGGAAGTCCTTGAACTCAGAGGAATCTGATCATCCAGGGCAGGGTGGAAGGGGAGGCAGTGGTGATCTCCTCCTCTCCATCCTCGCACCCTGCAGGTTTCTCCAGATGGGCTTTACTGGCTGTGTAGTAGGTGCTTCACGGGGAGGAAGGTAGATCAGGGTGGGGGGGAAGGCTAGAAAAAGACTCAGAGTAACTTGCATTCTGACCACTCTGATCTACCTTCCTCCCCATCCACAAGAAGGCCCCTTTCCTCTTTCAAGGTCATTTTTTAAAATTAGCATATCAATTGGAGTTCAGCTAAAACTTTCCAGAAGGCACTCTGAAAAAAAATGATGGAAATACTTCATTTCCTCACACCTTCATGTTTCTCCAAATACTTGTCCACCTGTTTTTCTATAGGAACAGCTATTTCATCTGCACACACAATGCCCCCAAGTGGCATTAGGCCCAGGGCATTATGGGCAGTGCAAAATGGGAGTTAACCAACTCCCATTGATGGGAGTTAATGCTAACAAAATCACTGCTACTGCTGCTGCTGCTACTTGCAATGTCATCCCCCTTTCCACCTGCAAAAAGGAAAAAAAAAACTTCAGGAAGAATCTGTACAATTGCCACTGCTAATAGTTACATCCTGAAAATTTCTCCTTCCCACTCAAGAAATTTGGAGAAATTATTCTCTCGGTTTTTCTTTCTGTCGATAGTGCAGAGGCTGTCCAAGGGGCATTCGCATGCATCTAGAATAGAACGATCCAATTCTGTTATACTAAGATCCATTTATGTGCCTCCTCCCCCCACCCCAACTCTGATTATGCACTTCTGTTTATATTTCAGGTCCATAGTGAGCGACATGGAAAGCCTGGCCATAGACCAGCAAGCAAATTTAATTTACAAGTGATTATCCAGGAACAAATTCTACCAAAAAAAGAAAAATCCACCCTTTGCACAGATCCAGCAATCAGAAGATCCTGCCATTCTGCAGACAATTCACAAAGTGCTATTCAGCCGAATGATAAGGTAAATTAGTTTGGGTTAAAATGCTGAACTTCTTTTTAAAAAGAAAAAATAACATTATTCTAGCTGTCCAATTTTGAAATGATATCCTTCTCACCTTGGGCAATTTATTCAAGTCCACCGTGGGCTTTTGTAAACATATGTTACTTGTGTAGACAGTGAGCTGCAATGACCTAGCTATCTGACCAAAGGGCTACCTGGAGGAGAGAGATAGGGCCAGTTAAAGTTTAACCACAGAACTGTAAACCAACCTGGGTTTGCTGAACCTTTGGAGTTTGATATGATGATTGGGGAATAACCTGAGTGACACGTCGCAAATTCAGCATAATCAAGGAGAACCTTTCCAGGTGGTGGTGTCTGAAATTGCTCAGGTACAGTTTCTCTGTACTGTTTCCCCTGTTGATCATTTTCTAAAACTAGGATATATGGTTGTGAATGTTTCCTACACAGGAATTTGTGAAGGGGGTCTTAATCTCAGCTCCTTTTGAACAAAAAGAGGCATTTGAAATGTCAAAATGCCATGTCTAGTTTTGCAACTTCTGGGATGTAGACGAGGACACTATCTGTGATAGTGCATTTGCTATACAAGTTTCTCTGGTGCTGGTAATAATTCTGTAATGCTGGTGCTGTAAGGCTGTGTCGGAGAAAGTGGAATGTGGCTTTTATCCTGGTTTTGATATGGTCAATTTGTGAGACGGACGACTATTGGAGGGTTGACTTTTTACTGCTTAACTGGTTTTCATGGTTTGCCTTCTCTTGTTTTTCACTGATAACTGAAGATAACAAATTCAGATCATGCTTCTGGTTTAGATGAAAGACGGTGAGGTAAAACAGCACTGAGAGGAAAAATGGTTGCTTTGTTTTATAAAGAGAGGGAAGTCAAGGAGGTGTCTTGTCTTCTTCATCATCTTCTTCCTCCGATTCCCACTGGATTTGTTAAAGCACAACTTGCTGAGGCTAATCATTACATGTGTCTAAATGTTTCACTTACAAAATAGCTGGTCTTTATAATGCACCTTATTCTTAGTTCATATCTGCATCCATAGCCATCTAGTTTACAAACAATCACCTCTTCTAGCTAGCCAAGGTTTAGGTTTATATTACCCTCCCAAGTGTTGCATTCAAGTGCATTCAATGCACTTGAATTTAAAAGGAGGGAATGTGAAACAAGATGCAACCAGCAGTCTTTTTCAATCGTAGAGGATTAGTTCTAGCCTCACACAGGTCTTCTTCAGATCTCAAAAAGATGAGGTAAAACCAAAATACACTAGATAATCCATGTTAAATTACCCATGTTTCAGCACTTCTTGGGAATGGGATAGTAGTAGACATACCTGTAATTGAGAAACAAGGAGCAAGACAATGCACAGGATTGTGCTTTGAGAATGGTCTAAGGTGGATTGTTGCAATGAGCCATAAACCCTAAAGCCAGCCAGTCTATTCAGACAATTAATTGTTGTCCGGTTGAATTATGAGTGTGTCTCTCAAGGCCACCCTTTGAGGTTGATGTATATTATCCCTTTGAAAGCAAGGGCTAGAAGAGAATAAAGTTATTTGTGTGACTGATACAATAGCACTACAAAATTGATTTTACATAACTTAGGATTTTGGATGGTGTGTGTGTGTGCATGTACACAGAGAGAGAGAGAGAGAGCAAATGAGAGAAGATTTGTACTTTGTCTTAATCTTGCCTCTTTGTATTACAGATTATTTTTCTCTGAAGTTGTAGCAACAGAGGTAGCCAAAGACAATATGTAGCCATGCCATTCCCAAAGCTACATTTATTTATCTCATATTATGCCTTTAAAAGTCAGAGTACATGATTTTATTTTAAAGTATTTTGGGTCACATTTGGGGTGACTCTTTAAAGGCAGCCCACGAGACCTAAAACACTGCAACAATAAATATCAGAATTAATTAAAAGTAGTGACAGTAGTAAAAGAAAATGCAGAAATGACCATGTTGGCCATGAGAAATATCCCTTCATCCATATTTGGTGAACACCTTTATTAGGTTGATGGAAGATCACAAAACAGAATGCAAGCTTTTGAGCTCTACAGAACTCTTCAGAAGGCAAGCAGGCAAAGCAAAAGGGGAGGAGAGCAGCTGATGTCCAAGCCAGGGGTCTGCATCTCGTTACAGCCTTAAGATGGAATGTGGAAATAGGCTGTCGACATTCAGATATCCCATCACCAAAGCACCAAAGCCCAAAGCCATTCTTGTCAAAACCTTCAGCAGAGGCTCTCTGAATTAAATACAGGGATTTATTTCACCACACTGAATCAAATGCACCCTGTGACAATTTTCATTGTTTGCACATAGCTCTGTGACAGAGAAAGATGACAGGTGATTTTCAGAGAAGCAGCTGGGTTCGTTTCTGTGTTGTTGCAGGAAAAACAGCAACAATGAAAACTAAGAGATCTTTGGCACCTTTAAGGCTAACACATTTCTTCTGACATAAGTATTCATGGGAGTAGAGTCTACTTCACCAGATGCTATGAGCGTTACTGAGAGTGTACAGTAGCTATGCATGGAGGTGGGGTAACTAAACAGTAATGTTGAAAGGGAATTAAATGCAGAGAGTACCAATAGTGACAATCGTTTTTATGAAAGCGAAACAGAGAGAGGTGTAATAGAGATAGAATACTGTTCCTTGGGATACACAGAGGCAATTCCTTTTTGGACCTTTCTCACAGAATCAGAAATGTTTTTTCTTCAAGTGGGATCTTCTGACTTCCAACTTAACTTCTCCCTGCACTTAAGAAAATGGCAGTGAGGTAAAAGACAGAGCTAATGGATATGAACTGACGGCCTGGTCCCAGTCTTACCCTGAGACAAAACCTAGAAACCAAGTAAATTTTGCTCAAGACCAATGAATATTTATTTACTTACATTGACAGAGAAGTTAGAGTGGTAAGAACTCCATTTATCATGGAATCTAGTCTATGAAGTGTTCAGAAATCGTTCACCTGTGGTACTTCTGTTCCACATTCAGTTCACTGAAAGATGAAAGACCTGTTTCTTGACTTGTTTCCAAGCATATTGTTCCACAGTTTTTCAACATGGCTACAAATGTGTCCAGCAACTCGGTATTTTAAAGTGAATTGGTGGATTGAGCTGCAGGAGACAAACACCATTTTTCTTATCTTATTCATAGAAACAGTAACTAGGCTTCCAGAGAGTGCTGCTAACAAGCAGCCTCCACAAGCAAAAGCACAGCTGGAGGGAAAGGTGATACACTAGAAACGTGTGTTTCCATCAGATTAAGAAATTCCATGATCGTTATCTTTGCAGTGTTCACTGATCTTTGAACAGTGAAGACAATTGTGCCTCTAGATGAGGCCAGATGCAGGAAAGACACCGCTTGGTATTTAATGGTGAGATATGATGAATCGAATGGTCTCAGCTAGATCGTCAAACGGTACTGAGAACCAACCACGGAAATAAGGGTGTGACATTCAGCATGGCTTATTGAGCTAGCAATTTTGCTGGCACTGATATTACTGTTTGCCCATGGTGCTGCAAAGTAAAAGGAGGAGTCAATAACTAATTATGCCCCAAGAGGAAGAGACATAGCAGTGTGTGGAGGAGATCCTTGTTTCAAGATCTGGCTTTTCCCATTCAAATGATCTCAGATATGAATCAATGCTGGACGGATAAAACAAAACAGTTAAATGCAGAATTCTTTATGTATTGTTGCGAAAAATATAAGCCACCTCCCAGCAAGTAGGAGAATGCTACCCTGAATAAGAAGCCATTTTTCACAGTTTGCTAGCTGCATGCTTTTACACTGAGGGTGTATAAGTAGAAAGAGAAGTGTGGTACAGTGGTAAAAGTGCTGGTCTTACAACAGGGCGGTACCAGACTGACGTATATGCTCAACCATGAAATTCCAGCCAGTCACTGGGCATATTCACACATCACAACAACCCACCTTGCAAATAATCTGCACAGTGTGAGTTGTTTATGAAGCAGCACCCTGCGCACCTGACTGGTGATGTGTGAGTTGTCCACCTCACTTCCTTACCCTTTGCTCCTCTTGTGGGTATTCCCAAAATGATTACCTGTCCTTTTGTGCTTGTCGTCACTTTTTCCCTTGATGGTGAGATGGAATGGAGATCACTTTTCATGATCTCTGAACTGACAGCCAGTTAAAGTCCTTCCAACAGTGACCAGCGCTTCATCACTTTTTTTTTTTTAAATGCACCCAAATGTATGTAGATACTTTTGTAATTCCTTTCTTAGTCAGACTTAGACAAGGGTGGAAGGGTGCCCTTGAGGGAAGTCCCCTTGGGCCATATCATGGGAGGTGTCTGTTGTCCCAGAGCAGCCACACCAACAACATGCATTGACCCAGACAGGTTGCATACTTTGCTTCCCTCTGACAGCTGTCAAGAGGCAAGCTGTTGAAGTAAAGCAAAACCGCAACTGATCTTTGCTCAACCCCTTTGGGGTGAGATCCTCTGATTTTGTTAAAAATCCCACCTTTTACAGCCATCCAGAGTGGTGACCATCACTACATCTTGTGGTGGTAAATTTCATGATCCATGATGCATTGTGGGAAGTGCTTCCTTTTCTCTCCCAGCTTTGTGGAATGACCTGGGTTCAGGTATTATGAGAGAGGGAGAAAGGTGCATCCTTAGCCACTTCCTCCACCCGACGCATAATTTTATTGTCCCTCCCCCCACTTATTTGTCTTTTTATAAAGCTTCCTTTCTTTTAGATTGGCAGAGGTGCTGTGGCACAATTGGGAGGTGTACAAATGTGTTAAATGAATACATAAAAAATCTATTTATTGAGGAACTATATGAAAAGGCATCCCATAAGAGATCTGTTTGTGATTCAGAAGTAGTAAATTAAATCGTTAAAGGCTGCTGCCAATGCAAAGTGCCCACCCAAAAAAGAAACTGCTGCTGCTTCTCTGCACAGTTTGTTGTTCTGGGCTGGACTTCTTTCATGGCATGTCTCATCTTTAGGAAATAATTCTCACCCTTACACGTTTT